CCTGAGGATTCGACGGAACTTCTCCTGTTGTGCAGGATGCAGGGTGGATGCTATGCTCAGCTTCGGTTCGAAAGTGAGGCTGAGTAGAACAGCAAACCACCATTCGGTCTTTTGAAGCTGTGGATGGATCTCGAACAGATTGCAAGGGTGGCATACCCCTTTCTACATACACCGCTAGCCTTTCCTTGTGCAATCTTCTTACTTCTAAACGACAACGATGTGCAATAATGAGCTGGGTGCACAAGTGGAATCCTACCCTTGACATGTCACTCCCTTATATCAACTGTTCCCAGGCAGTTTTTGCATCAAGTTATGCTCTGTCCGGGCAGTGGGTGCCAGCGGTTATTAATCAGAAGCCCACCGTCCAGTTATGGTCAACTAACCCAGGATTTACAATTTCGATCAGCTGAACGCGCGGATGGTCTTCGAGGCAATCCGGTCTTGTTTTGGCGCCACTAGTTTGTTCGACAACAGCTCTATACTCGCGATGACCTTACACCTGCCCTGAAGCTTTACATCGTCTTTGAACTTCTGCTGCGCCCCTGACAACCGAAAGTCCGAAATCATCCATTGCGTGGCAGACATGTCATCTGAGTCAGGGCTTCGTGGATGCATCATTGAGGGCATGGGGCTCTTGTTATGCAAAGACTGCAACATGAGTGTGCTTCCTCACTGACCGAAATACTTCCTCAATGCATCCAATCCCCCGCCAGTATGATGCTTTCTGTCCACAGACGCATCCCATGTACCCTAAACCCTAAACCCTAAACCCTAAAACCAAGCCTAAAACCAAGCCTCTGAGGAGGCCTTTCGTCATGACGAGCTCTGTGCCATGTGTCTATGGGGCCTAGCACATGGCCTCTTGAATGAAGCAGGCCACAGAGGCAACCAGAGGTACCTATAGTCTCCATTGTAGTTCCTTTTTTTGGTTTAACCAATTATATATTAGGAATTTATAAGGTATCCCCAAAAAGGAACTACAATGGAGACTATAGGTAGTTTCTACCTGGCTGTACCCGGGTGAAGGTTTCAGGGTTGATTCTGCGACTACCAGAGTGCAATGGTCTAAACCTAAGCCCGAACCCAAAACCTCAAATGACGAAGAGCGTAAATAAGGAGGGGCAATGTGCAGTGCAGACTGCGCGTTGCACATGCCTACACCCTGAAGCTCATAAACACCATGCCTTAAACCTTTGAGCCCTGCCTTGCGAGAGGCCCAAAAAGCCCTACAAGCCCCAAGCCCGAAACTAAACTTTACCAGCCTTCAACTGGAACCCATACTCCCCATAAGCCCTAAAACTCTATAAGCCCAAGAGCCCAGTCAACAACAACTTTCTCTACCCGAACCTACTTGGAGGTTCATGGGTAGTTATAAGTGGGGTTATAAGTCCCCTAATATGGGTTATAACTATAGTTAGCCTACTTATAACTCCACATATAACTACCCCCTAAACCCTAAACCCTAAACCCTAAACCCTATAGAACCCTTTAAAAGGAACCCTTAAAGGAACCCCATAACTCCACTTATAACTACCCATGAACCTCCAAGTACACCTTCTCCCGAACACCCCCAAGTCCGACGTCGTAAACCCTAAAGCCCCACTTGGAGGTTCAGGGCTTGGGGTTTAGGGCTTATAACCCAAAGTTCAGGGTTTGGGGCTTGGGGTTTAGGGATTATAACCCAAAGTTCAGGGTTTGGGGCTTGGGGTTTAGGGATTATAAACCAAATTAGGGGACTTATTACCTACTTACTTGCGGCTACCCATGAACCTCCAAGCAAACCCGATAGAAGCCCCGGAGCCCTGGAGCCTTTAGCCTAAACCCTAAACCCGACTACCAAGCCCTGTGCCCTCAACCCTGAGCCCTGAACCCTAAACCCCCAAAGTTTAGGGTTTAGGGTTTAACGCCTACCCCCCTAAACTCCAAACCCTGAACCCAAACCCTAAACTCTTTGTTGCCACGCCAGTGGATTCTGCCGGTAGTGCAGTGAGGTGACTCGGAGCAGGCGGAAGAAAGGAGTTCTAAAGCAAGCAACCCAGACCTTCCAATATCCCTGCATTAAGGAACATATATACCTTTCAATTATAATAGGATCCCTACTATTTACGGTATATTCCTTCATTACGAGATATTGGAGGGTCTGGCAAGCTTGAGCCTAAACCCTAAACCCCAAACCCGCACATAAACCCTAAATCCTTAGACTCTCAACCCTAAACCCTAAACCCTTAACCCAAACTAGAGCCTAAACCCTAAACCCTTTGAGCCTGAGGTTTCGGTCCCACCCTGAATGCACCGGTGAAGTCCGCCGAGGAGATGGGGTCCGGCCTGGCCGCCGCAAGGTCGATTTTCTTTCCTCGGGGGAGGGGATGTGGGCCCTAAACCCTAAAAAGTGCAAGAAAGAGCACAAACCCTAAACCCTAAACCCTAAACCCTAATCCCCAAGTTTGAGGTTCCTTTGAGCCGGTCCTATACTGTCACCAATAATAATAGTAAAGGGTTTCTGAAAGGGATGTTAGGAATTCTGTACATGGGAGCCGAGGATTTCTCTGGGGGGGTAGCTACTCCGAGGGTCTACCCTAACCCCCAAACAACTTACTTTTTTTGGACTTATATAAAGAAATCATAATAAGGAACCCTTAAAAGGTAGGTTCTTTGGGGTCCAGGTAGGGGTTGCGGAGCTTGGGGGTTTGGAGCAGGTCTGGGTCTGAGATACGTCGGGCCCCGAAATAGGGGTTTCCGAAAATAGGGGGGTACCTTATTTTGGGGTCCTTATAATAGGGATCCTACTATTTGGGGTACTATATTAGGGTCCCCTATTTTTGGGGAACCCCCGAAGTAGCCCCAAGCGGGTGCTATGCCAGCCGTACAGTAGAGATTCGAAACAGCCTGGGGATTCTGAGGACCCCAAACTGGGTTCTTGTTAAGGGATTTAATTTAAGTTACCATAATAGGGAAACCATATTATTTACTATAGATCCCTGTTATGGTAACTTAAATTAAATCCCTTAACAAGAACCCAGCAAAACCCTAGCCCCTAGACCCTAAACCCCGCAACTCTAAACCCACTGACGGATCTACAGTGAATCTAGAGGTTGAGGAGAAGCGGGTTGCTCGGGGATCTAGGGCTTCACCTAGGGTCTTTATTGCAATTCCTTCTGCAGTCACCTTTTTAGGATGCGTAATAGCCTAAATTACGTAACGGGTTAAACCCAAAAAGGAACTGCAAAATGGAGACTAAGTAGATTTGAGGGATCTAGAGTTCTGGGAGTTTGATGAAACCCTAAACCCCTGAACCCCTAAACCCCTATAAACCCTAAACCCTAAGTTTCATGGTTTCTGAAGAACCCAGAGAGCCCAATACCCCCTAATTGAGGAAGATACCTTAAATCATAATATCAAGGCCCCCTATAATTTAAGGTATATTCCTTAATTAAGGAAGATACCTTAAATCATACTATCAAGGCCCCCTACAATTGAAGGATATCTAAGGTATAATCCTTAATTAAAGGGTATTGGGCTCTCTGGGAACCTGGAAGTCTCGAAGTTATAAGTCCCCTGATATGGGTTATAATTATAGTTACCCTACTTATAACCCTACTTATAACTATACCCATGAACCTCCAATTCAGGGCTTCACGGTGGAGCCTTGGGTTTCGAGTTTCGGCGGGGTTTGATTTTGAAGCCTTTTTTGTCATTGCCTCTACTATTTTTGGGTGGCTCCTTATTATAAGTATAATTAGCCTATAAAAGGATCTCAAAGCCCTATTCTAATTATTAAGGCCCCTATATTAGATGGGAGGTTCAGGGGCTTAGGGCTTGTGGTGGAGATTCGTAGGTTGGGGGGTTTAGGGATGAGTTGATGAAGCTAGGGAGGCTGTCAGGTTTTGTGTTGAGGAAGCAAGTCCGCGTCCGTTGATGTTATTTCTGTAGTTTCAGCTGTTTGAGTTTGCTGCTTTGGGAGAGCAGCAGGGGGGGTTGGCATCTAAGGGACTAGCTTAGTGAGATTAAGGTTGACAGCTTAGAGTGGGTGACGGTGCTAGGATCGAACTCCTGTGGAAAGATTGCACGGACTGCCGCGAAGTCGAGTATGTTTCTGGAAGGTGAGTTCGGTTTTCTTTCGCTCGCCCTCGGAGCATCAGCAAAAGTCCAGCAAAGTCAGGCCTAGAGTTCAGGATGTGGGAAGTTCTCGAAACTAGGATCCAGTTTTCCGTCCCAAAACTCGCAGGGCACCCTTATAAAAAGGCCCCTACAAAGGCACCCGGATTTAGAGTCCCCAAATGCCTGCAGTCAGACTTATAATACCCTAAACCCTAAACCCTAAACCCTATACCCTATAATATAGGCATTCTCTCGAAATCTCCGGCCCGGAACCTGAAGCTCGAGATCCAGCCCTAACCCTTAACATCAAAATCGCCCAAGGGTTTAGGGTTTAGGGGTTTAGGGTTTAGGGTTTAGGGAAAAGCCGTATCTAGTAGGGTCTTTGGGCCCAAAAGCCTTAAAAATATGAGTCCTTGGAGGGTAAGGGTAACATGTTCACACGGTCCTCCCTGTCCTCAACCCTCAAACTCTAATTAATTTTCTCAACCCCTCAGGCCGTATCAAGCCCTATCAAACGCCTACACCCCAAACCCTTAATCCCTATAATCCGCTACTCCCCCAAACCCTGAACCGTCAGGCAAGCTCTGCGCCTCCTGAACTCGCATGAACTCAACTACACAGCCAAGGAGGAGTTCTCAAGGGTTCTGGCCATTAGTGTCCCAGAGAGCCCAAGACCCTTTACTTGAGGAGTCTACCCTCAACCATATTATAAGCCCTAAATTCGACAATATTAAAGTATATTCCTTAGTTAACGGGTTCTCACCATGGTGTTCTGCACCATGGCCCCCGTTGTGGTTGCTGTGGCTGCGTTGAGGGTTTAGGGGTTTATAGAGCTTAGAGACTTACTTAGCGCTGCATCGAGCTGCTCCGCATGTGCTTTGAAGGAGGTTCTGATTCAGTCCATGGTCACGCGATACCCAGACCCGCCCTCTGGCAACATCACCGTGCAGATGGCAAGTAACAGGAAGTATGCCTCTTTGCTGGGCAAACTGAGACAAGACGAGAGCTTGCAACCTGACGCCGATCTCAAAGTCTTCGAGGCAGAAGCTCTGATGATACTGCTCTGCACACCAGATGAATGGCACTTCTATGAGTCAAGAGGAGACAGTGCACCTGCTGTAGCCAGGCCAGAGACTCTGGAAAGTACTAAGCTGCTTCAGGAAGCCCTGATAGCAACGAACCAGACACATCCGTATGCGCAGCATATGTTGTGCCTGAGGCTTCAGCCGAGCAGCTTTTGTTTTCCGTGATGGTTCATCGAACCGAACTTGATTGTCGACATAGTGACACAGTTCATACTGGCACGATTGCTCTGCTCAGGATACATAGCACGGAGATGTCCAACAACGACGTCCATGCTGCTCTCCCTGCAGCCCATGATCTGCTGGCAAACACTGCCAAATTGCAGGATCAGCACCTCCAGCACATGACCAGCCACACCTACCTCCGCGCTGGCTACTACCACAAGGCCCTGATGAGCAACATCGTGGCTGTTGGCTGCTCGTCTTGCGTGGCATGAACTAGCACCAACCCAGTCACGTAGTCTCTTCGCACCTTTGTGCTTACAGCTGAAGTCCAGCCACTTTTCCTGTTTTTTTAGGCCTCCCTGCGCCCGTGCCAACCCTGCAAAAAATGTGAAACCCCAAACTACGCAATGAAACTTTGTACACGCCCGAAACCAACAGATCCTCAAGCTTAAGGTACCGACTCGACCTACTTCAAGAACGACTGGATGCCCTATGGTCCCGGTCACAACTCTGCCTTCCTCGTCGCTTGCGCCCTCTGGGCTGGTGACCGAGCTGCGGCTTACAAGTACGTCAAGGCCCTAGGGTTTCGGGCTAGGGAGTCCGCGTCATGGTGCTGTTGAAGGGCCTTCTACTACAAATTAAGTACGTATATGGTGCTAGACTGGCTATTTCTCCTGGTCCCAAATCTGGAAGACTCCCCAACATCTCCAACTGCAGCCATTTTCGATGTTGTCCCAGGCTTCTGCATAGAGAAACTTCCTCCAAAACCGCATGCACTATGTTGTTCCATTGCACGCCGAGCCCTCCGAAATCTCCCCCTTTCCCCTGCTTGCTGGCCATTGTCACTACCTGTCCGCAGTCCTGGACCTACAGTCTTACTAACTCTGACATTCCCTGTCAGGTAGTCCAGCAGGTTTTCGAGCGGGTCCCGGAGCAGGCAAGAAGCTCGCTTTTGGTTTTATGTGTGTGTGTGTGTCGAGCATCCTGGCAAAAGAAGAGAGAGCCCTGTGTACATACATGGATAGAACACCCAAGCTTCTGGGGATGCGTGCAAGATACTCGGATGCTTCGCTTTTGCTCGTGTGGCAGCGTGCTGCATTCCCCCAGGCCTTGAGACGCAGAGCCATTCACTCGCCTCGTTTCGAGTACATCAGAACAGAAGTGGTGCCGTGTTTCTGAATCTTTCTAGTAGTGCTATCCTTCCCTTGTATTCACACGTGTTTACTCTCGGTACCCACTTCGCCAGTCGCTTCTGGCATGCTTCCGGTTCTCAGTACTTCAAACTACCAGGCAATTGTTATTCATAGTCCTGGTGTTTGTCGGACCTGTTGTTGCTACTGCCGGGAAGCGGTGCAACAACTAGTTCATTCCTACGGTAAATGTCTCTGCTAAATGCAGCACTCTCCCATGTCATGGTTTTGGGTCTTTGGGCTTTTTGATAAGGATTTGGAGCTTGCTTTGCGTCCTTTTTGCCCTTCCATCAACGGAGACTTTTCCGGAACCGACTCGGATCTTACAGGCCGACTTCCCAGATGGGAGCATGGCGTGGAACTACCCGATGATGGCCGCTTGTTCTTGTGATGCCGCAAGCTTACTTAACATATCTTAACCACACAAATGCTGCACGCCCTTGACACTGAACACCCTGAAAATCATCATGGAGCCTCATTCGGATCCCAAACCCTGAACTCAACCAAAATACGGCCGAGGTAGCTCTCCGCTTCGGAGATTTCGACCTCGTCGAGGGCTTGGAGAAGGCAAGCGTGTGTCTACTTCTCAAGGTTCCGGCAATGAGCTTCAACACTGAGAGCCAGTAATTCTAGAATATGTTTTTTGCAGCTCGTTCCAACTAAGTTAGAAGACTCGAAGCAGCTTCCACCAACTAACCTGCAGACCAATCCGCTGTCGAAAATTTGATGTGCGCTTCCACCGGCCTGCAGTATCTTGTGCCGGCTGTAAGACCAGGACGACAGAGCTCTGGACCTCAAATCCTATTTACGGAAAGATCCGGCAAATTCTGTAGAGTCGTCGGCAATGTGAAGGCCCGAATGCTCCGTCTGACCTTCTTCGACGGAGCTTTCGACGGCAGGATATGCATAACCCGGCGCAGGCTATTCCAGCAGGGTTTGCCAGCAAGTGGATCTACGGAGGCCGGTCTCGAACGGGTCTACCTTGAACCTATGTTTTCGTAGGTTCTCGATTAATGTAGACCAACCCAATAATATAGCAAGTTTTTTTTATGGGGCCCTGCACAACAGTGTGTTTTGGTAGGGCAAGGTAGGGTTTAGGGTCTACGGCTTTACGCATGGCGGGCTTCGGGCTTCGTTTGGCAGGGTCTCTCGTGGACCCGCTTCGTGAGCCCTAAGAGTCTCGGCTCCCGGCTCGGTAAAAAGCTGGGTTTAGGGTTTAGGGTCTAGGGTTCAGGGCTGGGGGTGTAGGGTTTAGGGTTTGGGGTTCAGGGTTTAGGGTTGGTTTTCGCATGGGCTTGTGCTGAATCAGGGTTTGGAGGGGTTCTTCGGAGCGAGCATGGTTCCAGAAGAGTGACAAAAGTAGTAGTAGTAGCCAGCAGCATTGTCTTCAATCCTGCACTACAGCCACTTCTGCAAATCTCTTCCCTATACGAAAAGCCCAGATGCCCACTTGACATGCGTGCATTTTCAAGACCCAAACCGAAAAACCCTAAAATGCCAAAACCTGCAAGCCCTACAAAACGTTTGAAAACGAGACTGGAATTCTAGTCGGTTGTTTTATACAACCTGGAACCCGAAAGTCAACATATATATATATATATATAATAACCTTAGGTAGCAGCAGCTGTCGATGTCCAGGCCACCTGCTGATGCACTACAGCCGTGCAGTGGCAGAGGCATGGTCGAGCAAGCTTTCAAGGATCTCAGAAAAGCAGTTCAGGGTTCGGGGTGCAGGTAGGGGGTCCTAAGTGTTTCAGGGTGTGGGGTGGTGGGATTAAAGCAGAGGGTTATTAGCAAGAGAGAGAGAGAGAGAGAGCAAGACCTCTATTTCTACAATGAGGACCCTGCATAGGGGAGCTACAACGTTCTGAAACAGCAAGACCACTGCTACGCAGTGTTCTTCGAAGGCCCAAGTAAGAGGACAGACGACATGGAGTGATAATGAAGGAGTGTTCCACTCCGGTGTCTTTAGAGTTTTTGGGTTGGGATGTTGTCGCACGGATTTGGCTCTTGGTTGGTATGTACCAGTAGGGCAGTAGGATGCGGGGTGTAGAGAGGTGTGAAGTGCTGGTGGGCTAGCATTTGGGGTTCCAGCTTTGGTGCTTTCCGGTGTATTCATGGTTTCAGGTAATTCTATCTCCGGCGCCTTTCGGGAATCGCTGGCAGAACTTGACGTTTTCTAAGAGAGTTTAAGAGGAGTTTACAGGATTGGCTTTGCGAAGTGTTGCAGTGTTTGCTGTAGTGGCATTGTCTGATCATTCGTCAGTAATCAGCATTAGCATAAGACGTGTGGTGGAGAATCTCCAACTTCAGAAGCATTGTTATGTTACCAGAGTCGTTTTCAACCGTCTGCTTTGCCACTACGTCGCTCCTTCGTTTGGGGACCGTTAAGCCTGCTGCTGCATCTATGTTGGTTCTGCTGCTGCGGCTCCGATCACAGCGGAATCTTAAGGGCCTCGGCTTCCATAAAGTAGGGGCCTGAATAATTAATTTAAGATAGGGTTTTGGTGGGTCCTTGTTTTCGTTATAGTTATGGTATAATATGCTCCCAAACCCTAGCCTTACTATTAAGGCCCCTATATTGCTGCCTCGAAACTCGAAACGCCCTAGGCCCGGAAATCGCCGATACCCTAAACCTCTGAAACCCTGGATCCTTCCAGCCGCACGACCTACGAGTATCCATCGCAATCCATGTTAATTAGCAACCTTTATATGGGGAGGAACTACCCGAAACCCTATAAACACACGAGGGAGGAAACCCTATAAACCCTAAACCCCCTAAACCCTATAAACCCCTGCAGCCACAAACTCTTCCTTTGCAGGCGCACCTGGGTCGCTTGGACCCGGCGCGGGAGCACCTGACCCAGCTTCGGCCACCTGCTTGCAGACGGGTATAGGGCTTGGAGCTTCGCGTATAAGGTTTAGGAGTTTAGGGTTCCGGACTGTGGGGGTTTAGGAGTTTGGGGTTTAAGGTTTATGGGTTGAGCTTTAGGGTTTGGGGAATTAGGGTTTATGGGTCAAAGGTTTATAGGGTTTTAGGCTTCAGGGGTGGGGTGTTTAGGGTAGAAGGGAAGTAGTGGTTCAGGGGTTTAAGGTTTAAGGTGTAGCGGCTTTGGGGCTGTAGGGTTTCGAGGTCTAGGTATTTGGGAGTTCCGGGTGGTAGGGTTTGGGAGTTTAAGATTCGAGGGAGTCCAGGGCTTTCAGGTTAAGAGTTTCAGTAAGGTTTAGGGTTTAGAGCTTTGGGTTTTGGGGCTGCGAGTCCACGCTTTTTTGGGCTTGCGACTGTAGGGTTTAGTTTACCCGAAGTTGCTGGGCTTAGTATTCAGGCTCAGACGTGCGCAGGGTGTAGGGCTCCGAGTGGGGAGCGGAAGGGTAAATGCCTAGGCTGATTTATTGATGGGCTCGAGTTCAGTTCGCATGTTTTGTTCCTTGTCCCATTGCAATGAATGCTTTCAAGTGCCACGATCAGAATGAGTGTTCCCACTTTGGCAGGTATTAGGAGAGTGTTTGCCACACCTGTTGTGACAGGCATTGCATCGCTCACTTTCTTGCAGTCTTGCTGAAATCAAACTATTTACTGAAGCTTGTGTTTGCATTGTTACGTGCTTTGCATGTTTGTGTTTGCACAATGCAGTGTTTGATATTTCCTTCCTCAAGCGCTATTTTCGCTACTTTGATTGTTCCTCGCTTGGCAAGTACGGGAGACAGTTGTGCACTCAACCGACCATCTTGCCTGCCAGGATTGCTGACGGTTGCAACGGGTATATTGTGATAAGTGGTACTTAGTTTCCTGCGGTTCTGATGGGGGTCATGTTTAACGGTAGCTTAGCGCTTGGCGTACTCTTCCCAGGCATCTTGCAGGCATCCCCGTCTGCCGCGACACCAAAGATAGGAGCCTCCCTTACGGGTCAGACCCTAAGCCCTTCAAGTCTATGTTGGTACCCCTCTTCCCGCAAGCTCCGCTCCCCCTAAACGAGTGTGGCAGGACACAGGTTTCGGTTGTAGGACACCTGCAAAGGCTGCTCATGCCAACAATCGTGGCGCAAAATGCACAGACTCTCGGCTGGCAGCTGGCCGATGGGTTCAGGCACTCGGTGGTTTCTGCTGTCAGAGAGGCGGTCGAGACTTTTTGCGGTCAAACTAGTTCGGCAATTAAATAGAAGGGTTTGATTCCTGGCATGGCTGTCAGGGCAAACGAACCCGCGGTCCAGCACAAGAATCTCATAGGCAAGATTGTCACATAGAGCCGTCAGTCATGCTTAAGAACTTCTCTCAGACGAAGCATGGAACAGCGGACCTTAGAAATCAAGCCACGGCTCGCTGTGGCTACGCAATGGCTGGGCTTCAGCCCCAACATCCTACCTGTGGCTTATGGTGTGGACTGGCATGTTGTCGCATGTGATGTCGGTCTCTGTCTCTATATTTTTCCCAGGGCTTCAAGTATACAAACAGTACTTGCTTTGGAGTCTAAAGTCCACGGATAGCCTGCTTTGGGCTATTGGAAGTTCCAGGGATTTGCATGGCCTATATAAGTATAGAAAGACCTGGAAGCTTTGCTTCTAGCCTTAGGTATGGTAACCTTTCGAAGATTGCGAACGACACCGCCTCCGCAGTTCTAGCATCTCGCCTTGAAGATGGACTTTCGGGCTTAAGATTTGGAGATGGGCTGCCGTAATACTACTTTGCATTATTAACACAATACTTTATACTACAATTAAAGTATATACGACTAACATACTAGAGCATACGTGTCAAGAGGTGTGGGACGTAGTGCAGTGCAAGATATCTGGGTCGAGTCATTGGAGTTTTTGTCAGGGATTGCAAGTTCCAGGCAACCCCACCACGGCTTCGCGGGCTTGCTTACAGCCAGCATGCTACATGTTAGTGTTTGGGATCGCCTTCCAATACATAGCTTGCGGTTCTGCCATCACCTGGCATCTATTGCCGAAGCTGCCAGCATTGAACACTAAACCCCAAAGAGGCTTGCACCTCCTGGGCTCTAATGTGCTCCCTGCAGTGGGACTCCGTCTGCTTGGCTTGTGGCCATAGGGCCAGAGAGCCAAATACCCCTTAAATAAGGAATGTATCTTAAATTATAGGGGCCTTAATATTATGATTTAAGGTATATTCTTTAACT